AAACAGCCCCCAAGTCACCTAAGTGGACTCTTAACCCAGGGCTGTGTCATCTGCCTAACGCAGATTGTTAATAGATCTTCCACCAATCCTGATGCCACAATTCTCCTCATAGAGCCCAGCCTCTTGGACAATCTGCTCTGCATACATGTTGAAAAGGTATGGAGACAGGATAGCCAAGTTAAATCCTAACACTCCAGAACTGGTGAGTTTACATTTCCTGTTTTTCTCCTCAGGCAGAGAGGGTGCATGTGTGTGCTGCCTTAAGAGAAATCTATTGCTTTTACGTCAATCAGTCAAATGTTATTATTAATATTCCACAAAAAGTAAAAAACCCAAACAAAATCTTTAAGCCTGACAGATAAAACAAAAATCCATACAGTCTTAGTGTCAGGAAATGTTTACTTAGAACCCTTGGCTAACTTTCTTACTCACTGGAACCTCAAGAACCCTAATACTTCCCTTCCTCCTAATTAGACCTAATTAGACGATACAACTTTAATCAGTTTTTTCAAACTCAGATTCAGTCTGTTAAATGTCTTCTGTTATCTTAGTATTATGAGCCTCTACCAACTGAATGAAGAACCTGATATTCACTGGTTTGAGTGTGTACAAACAGGAGGAGAGAATCTATTAGCAGCTTATATGTTAAGCATTAGAGAAGTCATTTTATATGTTAGCATTGTTGTTGTTATTGTTGCTTGCCTTTGACTCAAGCACAACTCATAGTGACTGCAAGAACAAAAGGACTGAAGCCCCTCTACAACCATCGACATTTATCAAAGTTCATAGAGTTTCTGTCTGCATGTTGTTTGGGAAGTGGATACCACTCTCACTTCCAAACCTGTCATAGTATGTTATTGTTGTTATGTGCCATTGATTCACTTGCAATGCATAGTGACTCTATGTACAGTAGCTCTGAAACCTTCCCTGTCCTGAGCCAGTCTCACTAACTCTGACACACCAATCCCCATTTCCCCAGTCACTGTATCAATCCATCTCATCCGGGGTCTTCCTCTCCTGCGCTGTCTGTCCACCCTTCGGAGTATGATGTCCTTCTCCAAGGACCGATCTCTCCTAGCCACGTGCCCAAAGTACATGAGGCAGAACTTCAAAATCCTAGCCTCAAGGAGAGATTTGGTTTCATCCTCTCCAAGACAGATCTATTTGTTTTCTTGGCAGTCCATAGTGTGTTCACGACTCTTCTCCAGCACCATAACTCAAAAGCACTTCTTCTGTCATCCTTAGTCATTGTCCAACTCACTGAAGTATAACAAGTAATTGGGGAGACCATGGCCTGGATTAGGTGCACCTTTGTATCTAGACTGTATTCTTTAGCACTCTGGAGAGGTCCGTGACAGCATATTTTCCCAATGCAATTCATCTTTTGATTTCCTGACTCCTGGTATTAAGAGTGCTGATTGTGGATCCAAGCAAACTGTAATTGCTAACAACCTCAATCTCTTCTCCATCTATTGTGGTTTTGCCAATTGGCCCAGTGGTGAGAATCTTTGTCTTCTTGATGTTGAACTTCAATCCATGTTGAAGACTGCAGTCCTTGGACTTTTGCAGTAAGTGTTCTAACAGCCATTTTTTTAAAAAACTGTTTAAAAGGGATATGTGATTAGGTATTATTGTCATGACAGGAGTCCAGGATGAAGGCTGCATAGTGGAGTGGACTTGGGGGAGGGATTGTATAACAATCAAAGAATTTTTCTTTTACTTTTTAAAGAGAAGAGTGAATTGGGGGGAGGGGGGTGGTCAGGGTGAAAAGTGCAACAATGAATGAATGGAAATCCTCAGTCTCTGTAAAATTTCATTAAAATTAATAATAATAAAATTTTTTTAAAGTATGGCTCAGTAATTTTGGCAATAGCATGTGTTGTATAGCTTTATGCTCTGCCCAGTTTTGTTACCAAACCCTGACTACATCCTGTACCTGGCCTGGGCCATGGATAACCCATGAGAAATCAGAAACAATAACAACTCCCTAATGTGAAGAAATCTCAACTGCCAACCTCAAAGAACTTGTGTAACTTCCTATGCCAAACCTCCACAAATACATAAATCTAATCTTTGCTTCTCCTTGTGGTCAGAACAATTGGAGCTTTAAGCTGAGTGTTTAGAATCTTGCTTTTCTGTCATAACAATCTCTCCCCAGCAATAATAGCAAAGTTCAACAGGGCAGCAAACACCAAATGCTATGAGGTTGTAGAGAGCCTGGAACCCTTATTTACTGCTGGTGGGAGTGCAAAATGGTGGAAACATTATGGAAGGTGCTTTCTCGAAAAGTTTTAAATAGAAATACCATTTGACCCAGCAGTTTCGCTACTGGGAATATGCCCTAAAGAAACCAGATCTGCCCCTTAAACAGATACATGCACACTCATGTTTATTGCTGTGTCAATCACAATAGCAAAGCGATGGAAGCAACCCAAGTGTCCATCAACAAATGAATGGGTAGAAAAACTATGGTATATTCATATAACAGAATGCAGCACTGAAAAACAAGAAACTCATAAAACATTACACAACATGAGTAACCCTGGAGGGCTTTATTCTGAGCCACAAAAAGACACATACTAAATGAAACACACACTGTTATGAAACAGAAATGACATGGGAGATTGGGGGAAAACTGGGAAAAGAAGGGCTAGACAATGAACACTGCATTGTAACAGAAGAAGGAAAGAACTGTTTAAAAGGAATATGTGATTAGGCATTATTTATATGACAACAGTGTCAAATACGAGTTGTATTGCAAAGTGGACTGGGGGAGGGAGGAAATTGTACAACAGTGAATGAATATTTTAAAAATGTGAATTCGGGGAGTGGAAAAGGAGGGGGAGGGTAGAAAATGTACAACAATGAAGGCATGAAAATGGAACTGTTGTGTAAACTTTTGTTAAAATCACAGTTTTTAAAAAAAAATATAAGTACATGGCTAAACATTATTTATAGTAACTACATCATGATACTTCCAAATAATTTTCCTTCTGTTAATGATGCTAAACAATTAACATAAGATCGCATTCATGACTTCAGAATACACCCTATGAGAAGTTACAGAGTTTGAAAGGGATAAAATCATAGCAACTTGATCCTTTTGGTTTTGTAATCCCCATGGAAAGAAGGGGGGGAAACCTGACTGCTGCTTAGTCAATTCCAACCTTTGATAACCAAAGGATGACTGATACTAGTAAAGGAAAAGGTAAAAACAACTTCTGCCAGAAGCCTTTTTAGATTGGTTTACTGTGAAAAGTAACATTAACAAAGGAATGGGATACCTAGTGTGTTTTTTTTTATTTTTATTATTTTTTTAACACCATCACTTCTTTTTTTTATTGTTTGGAATTTTTTATTATAATTTTTTATTTTTTTTTTACAGAGGTTTTGGATTTCCATTCATTCATTGCCGCAATTTTCTCCCTTCCCACCCCTCCCCACAAGCTCGCTTCCCCCTCTGAAGAGAGAAAAAAAAAGGAAAAAAATTCCTTCATTAGTATACAATTCCCACGTCCCTTCCCCCCCACCCCCCACCCCTAGTGCACTTCTCTATGCAACCTTAATTCTGGATTCCTGTGCTAACCATAATACTCAATCATATATCACTTCTAATCTGTTCTTTCCCTCATCTGTTTCAATACAATATACATAATTTATCCAGTTTTTTCTGTCATACCCCCACCCTGATGTCAGACCCATTCTACAACAGTGGCACCATGCAGTATTTGTCCCTTTGTGACTGAGATATTTCACTCAGCATAATGTCCTCCAGGGTCACCCACTTTGAATAATATTGCATGAGTTCCTTGTTTTTCAATGCTGCGTAGTATTCCATTGTGTGGCTATACCACAGCTTCTCTATCCATTCGTTTGTTGATGGGCCCTTAGGCTGCTCCCAACTCTTTGCTATTGTAAACAAAGCTGCAATAAACATGGGTGTGCAGATACCTAGTGTTTTAAGTATAAAAAGCATCACTATGAATCCCAGAACACTTGATTGTGCTTATGTGAAACCTATACTTGAACCAGGAGACAATCATCAGAACAGGGCAAGGAAACACTGCATTGTTCAAAATCAGAAAAGGTGTATGCCAGGGATGCATCCTATCTCCATACCTTTTCAGTCTATATGTGGAACAGATCATTCAGGAGGCTGAGCTCTATGAGGAGGATTGTGGCATCTTGACTGGAAGAAAACTCATCAACAACCTGTGTTATGCATATGACACAACCTTGCTTACTGAAACTGAGGAGAATCTGAGGCATTTGTGCCTTCAATATGGATTGAAGCTCAACATCAAGAAAACAAAGATTCTGACCAATTGGCCAATTGGCAGCATCATGATAGATGAAGAAATTGAGATTGTTAACAGCTTCACCTTGCTTGACTCCACAATCAAAACTCTTGATACTGGCAGCCAGGAAATTAAATGACAAATTGCATTGGTAAAATCTGCTGCTAGTGACTTCTTCAGAGTACTGAAAAGCAACAGTGTCAGTCTAGAGACTAAGGTACACCTGATCCAAGCCATGGTCTTTGCAATTACTTTCTATGCATCAGAAAGCTGGACAATGACTAACGATGATAGAAGAAGAATTTATGCCTTTGAGTTGTAGTGCTGGAGAAGAGTATTGAACATACCATGGACTATCAAGGAAACAAACAGATCTGCTTTGGATAGGGAGAAACCAGGCTGCTCCTTGGAGGCAAGAATTTTGAAGCTCCATCTGATATACTTTGGGCATATTTCAAGGAGGGACCAGTCCTTGGAGAGAGACATCATGCTTGGAAGAGTGGAGGGACAGTGCAAGAGAGGAAGACCCTGGATGAAATGGATTGGCTCAGTGGGGGTAGGTGTGTCAGAGACAATGAGATTGGCTCAAGAAAGAGCAAGGTTCAGAGCTGTTGTACATAGGGTTGTTATGAGTCACAAACAACTCGATGGCATAAAACAACAACAGCAATGATTAAAATTCAATCACAAATGACTACTTACAGCAGTTTTATATGCAGCTTCAATGTAAAACACAAGGTTCTGTATGAAATTGACTTCATCTAGGTTGTGGATGATATGGAGTCCTAAAGAAAAAAAGAGAATAAGGATAAAAAGTTAGATAAAACCATAGTAGTAAAATTAAATACTCTCTAGTACTCCTACTCTTGTTTAATTTTTTAATTTTTTTTAATTATTTTTTATTATTTTGTGTGCGTGTACTGTCAAATCAGATCTGACTGGTACAGGAGAATATTGCGCCTCCTTCTCCGGCAGAGCATCTGGTGGAATCGAACCGTGTTCCTCGGGGATTGCAGTGCAGCTTCTTGCCACTAGGCCACCAGAGCTCCCCTCCTACTCTTGTTTATGAACAAGAAAAGACACTGTTACTCCAAAACATAAAAATAACATTTAGTTTTACAATAGACTCCAAATAAGTGAGATGCTAGTATTTTTTAGTCAGAAGGAATTTTAACTGTTATTTCTAGGTTTTAATACAAAGCACTGAAACTTTAGATTGATAGAGCCCAGCTTCTCGAATCATTTATCAGTATACACATTGGAATGGTATGAAGAGAGGACACAATCCTAATGCACACCTTTCTTTCTACTTTCATTTTCTTTATTCATTTTTATGCAACTTTCACATGCATATATTGTTGTTTTTGTTGTTATATGCCATCGAGTCAACTGCAACTAAAAGCCATCCTAAAGGCTCTGAACCCTGTAGTATCTTGAGCCCATCTCACCATCTCTGGCACATCTGTCCCCATTGCTACAGTCACTGTGTCAGTCTATCTCATCCAGGGTCTTCCTCTCCTGCACTGACCCTCCACCCTTTCAAGAATGATGTCCTTCCTGGCAACATGCTCAAAGTATATGAGATGGAGTTTCAAAATTTTTGCCTCCAAGGGTCAATTTGGTTTCACACTCTCTTGGACAGATTTGTTTATTCTCTTAGTAGTTTTTGGTACGTTCAGTACTATTCTCTAGCATCACAACTCAAAGGCATCTATCCTTCTCGTGTCATCCTTAGTCATTGTCCAGCTCTTTGATGTATAGAAAATAATTGCAAAAAGCATGGCCTGAATCAGATGCATCTTCATCTCCAGACTAATATTGCTGCTCTTTAGCATTCTGGAGGTTCCTGAGAGCAGATTTTGCCAGTTTAATTTGTGTTTTGGTTTCCTGACTGTTGATACCAGTGTTGATTGTGGATCCAAGCAAGATGAACTCGTTAACAATCTCAATCTCTTCAACTATTGTGATGCTGCCAATTGGCCCAGTGGTGAGAATCTTTGTTTTCTTGATGTTGAGATGCAATTTCTTTACTTTCTGCAGCGAACACTTCAGATCCTCCTCCATTTCAATGAGCAAGATTGTGTCATCAGATCTGGGAGTCTTCCTCCAATACTGATGCCACATTCTTCTTCATAAAATCCAGCCTCCCAAATTATACGTTTTGCACACAGATTGAAAAGGTATGGAGGAAGAACACATCCCTGACACACTCTTTTCTTGATTTTGAACCATTCAGTGTTTCCTTGTTTTATTCATATGACTGCTTCCTGGTCCAAGTATAGGTTTCACATGAGTACAATCTATTTTTCTGGGATTCCCATTCTTGATGTTAGCCACAATTTATTGTGCTCTACACAGTCAAATGCCTTTGCATACTTAATAAAACACAGATAGACTTTCTTTTGGTACTCTCTGCTTTCAGCCAAGACTCATCTGACACTAACAATGATGTCCCTAGTGCCACACCCTTTTCTAAACACAGATTGTATTTCTGGCAGTTCTCTGTCAATATACTGTTCCAGTCATATTTTAATAATCTTCAGCAAGATTTTTCTTATGTGTGATAATAGTGACATTTAGTTTGATTATTTCAATACTCTGTTGGATCACTTGTTCTTGGAATGGGAATATGAATGGGAAATATGGATTTCTCCCAGTTAGTTGGGCAGGTAGCTGTCCTCCAGATTTCTTGGTACAACCTAGTTAGTGTGTCCAGGGCTGCATCTGTTTGCTGAAATATGTCAATTTGTATTCTATTAATTCCTAGGTACTTACTTGCCAATACCTTCAAAGAAGCTTGAATTTCCTCCTTCATCATTGTTGCTTCATGATCATATGCTTTTTCATGAAGTTGTTCTGGATCAGCCAATTCTTTTGGTACAGTGACTCAGTGTACTCCTTTCATTATCTTTTGATACTTCCTGGATCATTTAAAATTCTGCTCACAGTAACTTTAACTATTGCAACTTGAGTCTTGAATTTGTTATTCAGTTCCTTCAGCTTAAGAAATGCCATATGAGTTCTTCAATTTTTATATTCTGACTCCAACTCTTTGCATATTTTCTTATAATACTTTGCTTTGTGTACCCAAGCTGTACTTTGAAATCTGTTCACTCCTTAACTTCTTGATATCATTCCTTTGTTTTGGGTTCTTAGTGTTCTTGTACAATATTCAAAGTCTCTTCTGACATCCATCTTGGTCTCTTCTTCCTCCTCTGTCTTGGGTCAGGCACACCTTAGTCCTCAAAGTGACATCCTTATACTTTAAAAGGTATTCTTCAAATAAAATCTAACCTATTGCAATGTCACTGGTTTTTTGACTGCTGTTTTCATGAAGATTGATTATGGATATAATAAGTAAAGGTAAATTCTTGAGAACTTCAGCCTTTATCCATTTATCATATTGTTACTTATTGATCTAATTGTAAAGAATTTTATTTTCTTTATGTTGATTTGTAATTTATGTTGTTGTTGTTGTTGTTGTTGTTGTTAAGTGCCGTGGAGTCGCAGGCGACTCATAGTGACCCTATGAAGCAGAGTCCTCTACGCTTGGGTGCCTTTCATCCTCTCCCCAGGTTCATAGGGTTTCCGGACGCAAGCTATTATGGAAGTGGATGCCACTCCTCCTTCCACGTTGTAATTTATACTGAAGTTTATAATCTTTGAGGTTTATAAGTAAATGTTTCAAGTCTTCATTTTAGCAAGAAAATGCCATCTCTATACTGCTTTTCAGGAGAAAGATTGACCATCTCCTCCAATGCAATTTACAGCCTCTGAATACTTGCTGAAGGATCCGTTTATAAGTTGATTTTGACTCAATGGTAAATAACAACATATAAATCAAATGGTCATTAAAGGATGCAACCCTGATATACATTTTTCCTGATTTTAACCCGTACATAATTAAACTATGATTTTAAAGCATTCCTTTCTCTGCTTGAACAACTACTTTTTTGTTCTATACACAGGATCCTTATAAGCACTATTGTTTTGAAATTCCCAATCTTTGCAATGTCATTTATTATTTGTTATGATCACACAATTTAATACCATTGAATGTTAAATTGTTACATGTCATCTTGTTGGAGCTGCCTCAGAGTTGACCCTTCAGTGGGTTTTCAGAGGCTATAAATTGAACAGGAAATTGCCTATTTTTCCAATATAGAGTGGCTAATGTATTTTAACCACCTGGCTTGTGGTTGACAGTGTAACTCCTTGCCATTATACCACCAGAGCTCTTCTAGTGCCTTTACATAGTATACAAACTACAAGTAAACATCTTTCTGACATCAACAGTGATTTCCTTCATTCCACATCTTCTTCTGCATCTGGCTTGAATTTCCAAAAGTTCCCTGTCAGTGTACTATTCCAGCTGCTCAGCAAGATTTTACTTTCTTATAATATTTATGTTCATAAGGTTTTCAGAGGCCTGTTATTTCAGAATTGGATGGTCAATCCTTCTTCTTAATATCTCTTAATCCTGGAGCTCCACTAAAACCTGCCCACCATTGGTGACTCTTTTCATATTTTAAACATTGGTGGCATAGCTTTCAGCATCACAGCAACCCACAAGTACAGCAAACTGAAAGACAAGTGCTGCACTAATTAGAATGCTGATAAACAAGCAGGAATACAAACATTCATTTATAATTAGCAATATTCAGATCACTTTCCCAGTAAAACAAACTGACAGATAAGTTTCATAGTTCAGAAGGCTCCATCCATGTCTGAGTTCCAGGTACAAGCTCTAAGGGGAAGCTTTCTACCCCTGATGGTTCTGGAGGAAGGTTCTCTGAGCTTCCGCTCTAGGATTATATTCCTGTGGCTGCTGGGTGCTGGACCTTTAAACTGAGAGACATGATAATGTCACAGAGGAGGACGAAGTCTTAGCACGATTCTGTATGGTGGAGCTCCAAACTTGACCCAAGGTAAACACAGGGTGTAAAACTCTTTCTCCTCTTGCTGGTGTTTGCATGTCCTAAGCCTCATAAGTTTTGAGAAAAGCTTCATGGGAGTTGCAGAACTAGGGCATAACATTCACTATGCAGATGACACAACCTTGCTTGTTGAAAGTGAGAAGGACTTGAAGCACTTGCTACAGAATGTTAAACATTGCAGTCTTCAATATAGATTGCTCTCAACATCAAGAAAATAAAATATTCACTACGGACAGATACAATATATCATGAGAAAGGATTGAGACTCTCAAGGATTTCATCTGACTTGGATCCACAAGCAATGCACTTGGTACCAGCAGTCAGGAGATGTATTGTGCTGGGAAAGTCTGCAGTAAGGGATTTCTTCTAATAATTGTGGAGTAATGATGTCAGTTTGAGGACCAAGGTGTGGCTGATTCAGGCTATGGTCTTTTTCATGAATGGCCAAAAAACGAACACATATGTGTTGGAGAGGGCACATCCAGAGTGTTCTTTATAGGCAAAAGTGAAGAAGCTTTATCTAACATACTCTGGGCATGTTGATAAGAAAGGTTATTCTTTGGAAATGGACAACATGCCTGGAAAGATAGAAGGACAATATAAGAAAGAAGACCTTCAACCAAGTTAGTTGACATATTAGTACCTAACATGGGAGGGGCTTGAGAGCATTATGCTAAATTAACTCCGTCTCATAAAGACAAATATTGTATAAGACCATAATTGTAGAATGAGTATGAGGATCCAAGGTGAGGAGGATGGGTGCTTAATCATAGGGTCACACAATTTGATGGGTGGAGGGAGGGGTAGGTAAACGACAGGGGGAAAATCTGGTGTGAAAAACAATGTAT